AGCAAAAGGAAACGAATTCAACCATAGCATTCTCGTTCCAATCTGGCGCGCGTGCCCTCAGAAGTACCGATTTGGGTTTGCGACCTATATTTCTACAAGTAACAATAAGGGCGCATTGCGCCCAGAGAAATTTTTTGAATTATTTCTCTGGTGTTTGAAAACTATGCCGCAGGCAACAGTTTGCAGCAAAATTTCAATGACATGGCAAGAGCAGGCAATGGTTTCCTTTTCTTGGATCTGGCCGTCAACCTGCCTGACGTGCATGGTCCGTCACATAAATTCTTCACATTCGCAGTTCTTTACCATTGCCATGACCCGCAGGCTTTTATGTTTTCATTTTCTGCAGGATGTATCTGGTCTTCCACTTCTTTTGGAGATTTCTGTTTTTTTGCTTCGTTTTCTTTTTGTGGTATGGTCTCATTTTCCACTGGGGCGCACAGCAGATGTTCTGCGGTTTCAACGGCCACACTTTTCCAAAGTTCTGCTCTGGTTTCTGAAAAGTTCGCATTTCCTGCAGACTATAGATTTCGTCAGTTTTCCAAGTTCGCACAGAGTTCCAATTTTTAAGACCTTAATGGCGATTGGTTTGCAACACACAAATGCTCCACGGTTGCTGCCGTTTCGCATCTCCGCACGGCGGTTGTTCGTTTTCTAGCTTGTCCAACTGTGGTTTGCTACAGTTTCCATGTTGGCTGCAACATTTCTACCTTTGCTATGTTCGGTTTATTGAAGAGCCTCGGACTCCGTAGCCACGAAATCAGTTCTGGCTACGGATTTTGTTACGATCTCTAGTGCAGACTTTCTTGGTTTTTTCAGTTTGGCAGTTTCCGTTTTGCAGGTTTCCATTGCGGCTTTTTGCAGTTTGGTTTGCCAGTTTTGTGTGTGTCTGCTTTGGATTTCTTGCGTTTTTGCTATTTTCCTGTTGTTTCCTGTCGGTTTCCAAAGTTCCTTTGGATTGTCTCGGTTTCCATTGTTGCGGGCTTCTGATTTTCCACACAGGCTTGC